ACTCGGAGACGTTTTCCCGAGAAATATTGGCTCGGCCGGTGTAAAGAGCATCACCAGTGCTGTCATCTGCATAGCAATGAATGTCACGGGTTTGCAACATATCATTGATATGCAGAAGAAACAGCGTTGGCGATAGCACGCAGCCTTGTGGAACACCAGCATTAATAGGCTTGCAATCGGAGCTTGCACCGTCTACAACGACCTTGATGCTCCGATCTGCAAGAAAGCTGGTGATCCAATCGAACAATTTCTCGGGAAGCCCATAGGAAGGGAGCTTCGAAAGAAGCGCTTTGTGCCAAACCCGATCGAAGGCCTTCGCAATGTCCAAACTAACGGCCAATGCCTCCCCCTTGGACTCTACTGCCTCCGCTCATCTGTGAGTTAGGTAGACCAGAAGATCACCAGCTGACCGACCACGGCGAAAACCGTATTGGCGGTCACTAATCAGCTGGTGATCCTCAAGGTACCTCATGAGCTGGCGGTTTACAATGGACTCCATTGTTTTGGAGAACAAGGAGGTGATGGCGATAGGCCGGTAGTTGGACGGGTCTAAGCGGCCTTTTTTAGGGATCGGGTGGACGAAAGCCGTCTTCCATGATTTTGGGACTACGCCTAGGGAGTAGGAGCACCGGAAAAGACGCGTTAAAACCGGTGCCAACTCTGGAGCACACGTCCCCAGCACAATTGGGGGGATTCCGTCAGGCCCACTCGACTTGTGGATGTCCAGGGAGAGGAGTGCTTTGCGGACCGAGCGCTGTGTGAACTGCACTTCCGGCATGGAGCACTCACACCGCGGCGTACTCCTCCCGTCATCGAGAGTCGAGTTGGACGCAAAGAAAGAGCCCAGAAGATCGGCTTTCTCCTTTGCGGTATGGGCCAGTGAGTCGTCCTCCCTGTGCAGAGATGGAAGAGATGGCTGACAGAAATTCCCCTGGACAGCCTTGGCGAGAGACCAGAATGCACGAGTTCCAGAAGGAAGGCGAACTAGTTCTCGCCAATTCTGCCTATGTGCTCTGACTTTGCCTTAGCAATGACTCTTTTGAAGGACCTAGAGGCGGAATTATACTTCTTTTTTATAGCGCTGGTGTTTACATCCTGGCACGCTGATGCGTCAGCCCAGGCTCGGTAGCACTACTGCTTATAGCATGATGCTATTTTACAGGAGCGAACAAACCATGGCTGAGATTTGCCTCCAACGGGCACCACAGAGGAAGGAATAAAAAGTTCCATACCCTGAAGTACCACATCAGCGACAGAATCCGCAACAACGTTGGGATCGTCCGGCGAGAAGCAAACCCGCCCCCAAGGGTAGGATGCAAAGAAAGACCGCATCCCATCCCAATCGGCTGACCTATAGTGCCAAACACGGCGGCAGCCTGCAGAATGCAACTGCGATTTCAGCGTGAGTGGCACCTCACTCCGGACAAGACAATGGTCCGAGGAGCCTAAAGGGGTTTCGACGGAAATCTGAAATCTGATATAAGGTGCATGATCCTCCACATCTGGAATCCGCGTAGATGAAGTAACCAGTTTTGTCAGACCATATGCCAAGGCAAAATCATGAACAGATCTCCCCGCATGATCAGTTAAACGTGAACCAAGCCATTCGGCGTGATGGGCGTTAAAGTCGCCAAGGATCACGATCTCTGCGGAGGGGATCTGCTGTAGCTACGAATCTGCAGCCATTTGGACGTGGTCGAAGAGTCGGTCTGTTTCGGCATTACCGCTATGGGACCTATAGAGGCACCCGTAGACGCGCGGATGGTCGTCGCTGTCTACGCGTAGCCACAGGATGGACAGATCCGAACCTTCAAGTCTGCCGAGGCGTCGAGAACAGATATCCTCTCTGACTATATAAACTTTTAAACAAATGTTACTCTCACTGTCTTCCAGACCGAACATCGGTCGCTGCCGTCAGCGCAGGACAGCATTATAGTGCATGCGAAAGCACAGGTGCTCTATTCCCTCACTCTCATAGTCCGATGGTGCGGTAAACTTACACGACCGGGGAGAGACCAGGCGCAGGACCAACGGCTTTACGTGTTTTCCGAGGCATGCGGGTGAGACACCGCCAACTTACTGACTCCGGGCAGCTACTGAGAATTTCTTGAACGAATAACTCTAATAACTGATATTTTTGGCCCAATCCGAGATTCGAACCCGGGACATCAAAATCAGCAGTCGCTCTACCACACTAGTGTTTGTAACACTAGACTAACGAGGCAGTCATACTCTTAACATACTGTAATAGGCATATGGATGTGTATATAGAATTCAAATATTTAAGCACGCAAATCATTTAAGGTAATTCGTCTAAATTGGTAGAACTTCGACGGCACATTTGCTAAGAATAATAGAAATAATTAATAAAGATTTGAAAACAGATCAAAGCTAGACTTTTGAATAAAGAGTAAGACTACTTTTGAGTAAGAGTAAAATTTTAATCGTAAAGATAAATCTAAATCGTAACCGCTATTTATAAACCCGTAACAAGTAACCCATATTAATAATATAATTAATAAAATGTATTATTTTCATGTTTAAGATTTTAAATAAAATTTGTGACGCATTAATGATATCAGTTATTGATTTTCTATATATTATATACATAACGTATAATGTCTTAAAAAAAAAAGAACTTTTTCATAAAGTGACTAACGAATTTAAAGTGCATCTGATGGTACAAATGGCTATTGCAGTCCCTATACACCCGCAGCCAACTTCAAACAAAAGGCTAGAGATGCGTTGTCACCTCTTGCGATTAAAATTAAATACCTCACAGCCTCTCAGCCACAGAAGGGTATACCTTCCGGCCGGAACACAGCAGTGCAAAGCTATTTGCTAGCAGAAAGGATACCTGTACCTACTCGGACGGTAATAGTATTAAAAAAAGTCGGTAATAGTATCTAAATCAGTAACGTCAAGTACGGTAGTACTTAGATGAAAAGGGAAGATTTATCATAGAATACTACAATACATACATAATAGAACGGGGGAGTAGGCGGAGCCCGTGTAGCCACTGAAATGTCACTAACATGTCAATTCACACGTATAAATGTCAACACAATCAATCGTTTCCAATTTTTTTGTCATGCGTCGCTACATGCAAATTATTTAAAAAATTGCAAATTGTGCAATATTTACGTGTCGAAAGAACAGCGGGAAATGGAATTTAAATAAAGGAGACATATTCTACAACCAGTAAGTCGAAACTATTTATATTTTGTAAATATTAGAAACAAAAATAAAAAAAATACATTTATGTGTCAAAAACATTAATCAAAAGTCTAAAATTTGTTTGTAGTAGTGATAACTGATAATACGACGTAAATGCTTGTATGTGTGTTCTTGGCGATGCCAATCCTCCTACAAAGTAAGGTTGACAGCCATTCTATTGTGTATTATAGTATTCTATGAGATTTATTATGTTATCTCATGTCAGCCGCCAAACAAAAATACATCCATTACTGTGTCCCGTTTTTAAAATTAATATTACACAAATACTCCAATGTTACTCAATTTTAAAATGCCGTAAGTCTCGTGCTCTCTCTATTACTTTAAGTCAATTTCCTGTGACACCACGAGACTTAACATCTTAAAATTAAGTTAAGTAGCATTTGAGTATTTGGCCATAAGAGAGCCAATATTTAAGGAACGTGATTAATTTAATGAAGTTCACATATACATCGCCATTTTGTATAAATGTTATTCTTATTTTTTACAAAACAACGAACTGTTTTATCAAAGTAAGCAGAACATGTTCCCATATAACAGAAGAAAATTAAATAAAAATAAAATATAAACCAGTGTCTTGAGATAATTAATTTTTCTAATAGGATTGGATTCTAAAGAGATTTCCGACATAAAGTATTCTTACAATTCGATAAAATATATTGTACATAATATTCAAAATCAATTAATCATATAACTTAATAGTATAAACTTTATAATTTAAATTTCCCATAGTTGTAAATATTGCCTATATGTATAATGTAAATAAAGTATAAAATTATATAATACTACAATACTTAATACATATATAATTAAATAAAACATATATAATTAAATTAAATGTACTTACGACATATTTTTGTAAGTCAGTGTCGGTAATTATTTGTCGGAAAAATTTGTATAAATTGAAAAAAAAATTGAAATTTGTATAAAATATCTGTGGTTTGTTTTTAAATGTTGATTGCAGGTTTGCACTGTGTTATATCGGGTATGTTCTGTACTGCCGAATACAAATGACGTCATCAATTGCTATATTGTACTGGCGTGCCGCCGCCATATTGTGTCGGATATCCGGTCATAATAAAACAATTTTTAATTGTGTGAGCGCTGAATGAAGCATGCCAGAATTTTGTTTTTATTTATTCACATACAAAAATTATAGAATAATTGCTGGTATCTTCATAAGGAGCATATAATGATTTTTGGAGACAAAATGACAAAATAATCGCCAACACTTTTCCAATATGGGGCAAATGTATGACGTCATATAGGGTAGACCGAGGCGAATCGGATCACAGGGCGAATCGGATCAAAATAAGAAATCTGTTGATAATTCAAATATCGCATTCACATAGAACGCACTCAACCGGCGTTTTGCGTATCTCCTCTCACCCCGCACCTCCCGACATAGGCAGTATTTCGATCGCACTTGTGAATCAGTGGCGACGCCGCTAGTCAGCGACTCGGTCGTTTGTGTGTGTCGCAATTTTGGCGCTCATCTAAGGTACGTACTTACGATTTCTTTGTGTCATATTGCGGATTTGTGTTATAACTCAACTATATTGGTTTATATTGTTAAGCAAGGTGTCTATATTAGAGAACCAATTCGCTTTTAAGTATGATCTTAGAGGTTAACGTCTAAAATATTTATTTCAAAAGTCTTGATTATGGGGCTAATCGGATCATATCGTCAGGGGCGAATCGGATCACACTTTTAAACTGATTTATGACATGTTTGAAGTTATTGATTTATATTTATTTCATTGTAGATGGTTCGCACGTACAGAAGAAAGACTGATGCCGGAGAATGGTCTCAAGAAAAAATGAAAGAGGCTGTAAATAAAGTCCAGAACAAAGAGTTGACCTTACGTAAGGCTGCTGAGATTTTTGCAGTACCGTTCACGAGCTTACAGAGAAGAGTTACTTTATCCAGGGGTATTATTAAGCGTCGAGGTGGACAGCCAGCTTTAGATGAGAACGCAGAAAAGAAGTTAGCTGACCGGCTATTGCACTTGGCAAGTCGTGGCTTCGGAATTACACCCAAAGCGGTACGTAAGTACGCGTTTGAATTTGCAGAACGTCAAAACATAAAACACAAATTTGACAGAAATGCTGGAATGGCTGGCCAGGACTGGTTTCATCGCTTCATGCAAAGAAATAAAAAATTAACTATTCGGAAGCCGGAGGGTCTGTCAAGAGCAAGGTGTGATGGTATGAAGAAGGAAAAAGTAGCAGAATTCTTTAATACTTTGGAAACAGTAGTAGATAACAACAATTTAAGAGGAAAACCTGAATGTGTATACAATGTTGATGAAACGGGTATGCCGCTTAGTAACCGCCCACCCAACATTTTAGCCCAAAAAGTTGCTAAAGATGTTGTCAGCATGACTAGTGTTGAACGAGGTGAAAATGTAACCGTTCTAGCCTGTATGAATGCAGCAGGACAGTACATACCTCCATTTGTTCTATTCAAAGGTGTGCGTAAACGTGACGATTTTCTCCTAGGTATGCCACCTGGTACTGAAGTTGCCATGACAGAAAACGGCTGGGTAGCCGAAGAAGCTTTTAAGTTGTGGCTGCAACATTTCAATCGCTACCGGACCCCAGGAAAAGTAGTTCTAATTTTGGATGGGCATGCGTCTCATACCAGCTACTCAGTGGTAGACTTGTGTGACTCTTTCGAAATTGAACTTGTACTTCTTCCTCCACACACATCACATGCCCTGCAACCGCTCGATGTATCGTTTTTCTAACCGCTCAAAACCTATTATCACCAACAAGCTACAGCATGGCAACATTCACATCCCAATCAAGGAATCACAAAAGTCGCTTTCGGAGCACTTTTCCAACGGGCTTGGAATCAGGCTGCCACTGTTGGGAATGCTACAAAAGGCTTCGAAAAGACTGGAATATTTCCACTAAACGCCAATGCAATACCTGACCACAAGTTCATCGGTGATCAAGAGTCGGACATTGTAGAGTCCCAAGTCCAGTCCCCAAGTTCCCAAAAATGCAGCTACACGTGCAAGCCACAAATACAAAACCACTTGATAATATAGTGCCATCCACAAGTTCACAACAATCTGACGAAGCCCAGCCTCCCACCTGTGCAGAAATAATTAAAGAAATTCTTCCATCACCTTTAAAGTCATCAATTGCTTCTAAAAGAATTCGTAAAGTTTCAAAACTGGCCTTGCATTTAACATCACCTCAGAATAAGACTACTCTTCTCGAAAAAGAAGCAAAGAAGAAATTTAAGGTAGACAATAAAACCAAGGAAAATTAGGAAAAGGCTGTGGGCAAAGAAAATACTATGAAGAAAATGAAGAATAAAGCAAAGCTTGCGATAAAAATTAAGAGTTCATCTCCAAAACATAGAGAGTGGCACTGCATTTACTGTTCCGAAATATTCGTTCATCCACCATCAGAGGATTGGATTCAGTGCAATGCCTGCGAAGAATGGTGCCACGAAAAATGTGCCGATATGGGGAAGAAAAAGGACCATATATATGTGAATTATGTGCCGATAATTAAAATTGATCTCATTATTAATTTTTTACTGATTCCAAAGCTATAGTCATAAGAAACTTAAAATTTTGTTACCTACATGTGTACGATCCGATTCACCCCGAAAATTGGGGCGATTCGGATATTTTTTCTTTTTTTAGTTTTTAATAGCTAATTAAGAGAATATATGTATGATTTAAGTTTTCAAATGTTTATTTCATAGCTGATTGTTACTTCTTACGTTTTTATCAATAAAAATAACATTATATAACACTTTAGTATGATTTGCTCAACCTCAAAGAAAAAGTGATCCGATTCGCCTCGGTCTACCCTACTGTCCTATGTTTTGGAACGAATCACCAGTATAGCGTCGATTCATGACGTCATTTGCATTGGACAGTACACTGGGTTCTGTGGAACATACCCATCATCTCTTTATAAAACGATCTTATTATTTTATTCAACATGATGTACAATAAGTGACACTAACGTTATTCTTTCATCTCAGTGTAAGATTTGAGTGAAAAGCAAAATAATTATACTATAAAAAATAAATTTATTTTTGGAGTCAAGATCACAATAATTATTCTCCTAGATTTATGTCTGATTGGAATGTTGATCACTGCTGTGATGTTGGAGGCTTTATTTTTTATATTTTCTCAAAATTAGTATATTATTGTTGTCTTCCTCGCGAAGTTTTGAGTAAATTTTGAATAGCAACATAAATGGGTATTTTATACCATCATTAATAAATTATATTAAGTCATATAATTTGAAATTGCTACATACTTTTAGTACTTTCAAAACTAGTCGTTTTAAGGTAAATATAGGTTTTTTATTATATAAAAATATACAATTAATTTTTGTTTTATTATAAATACCTATGACGTCATTTTTCTAATAAAATTTCAATATTAAAATGTATTTCAATTGATATGAATGTTAAGTACCGTATTCTAGATGTTCACTGTAAACCATAGACAACTTTATTCACCCTTTAAGAATAATAAAAGCGTTTAGAACCAGAGGTAAAGTAAAACAAGACTCAATAAGAATAAAAAAATATTCTATTCTATTCTTTTGCGAAAATGCTTTGCCAACCTAAGGACAGCTTTATGATATTATTATTAAATAATAATAGATATTCAATTGAAATGATTGCGTTAGAGTTATTCACGAAAGTAGTCAAAGGTACATTCAAATTTAAAACATTTACTGTCGCTTAATATTTTGGGCCACTTGTGTCACGCTTAAGCCTCGCTTATGCAATTTTAGCCACAGTTATCCGCCATGTGGCTTTACCCAGCAAGTTTAGAACGTTCACGAAGGCAGTGAAGGGTGTAATGGAATTTACATTTACAGTTGCTTAATTTAGTAACCCACTTGTGTTACACTTAAGCCACGCTTAAGCAACTTAAGCCACGCTTAAGCAACTTAAGCCACGCTTAAGCAACTTAAGCCACGCTTAAGCAACTTAAGCCACGCTTAAGCAACTTAAGCCACAGTCCACAATGTGGCTTTGCAGTGTAAAAGCCCTGATATTCGCCTTACATATTTGTACAGAAGTTTATTTCTTACAGGGAAGGTAACTATTGTTTGATGTTCTAGTGATACAGCATCTGGGGGGATGATCAGGAGCCGAACTCCTGTGTATCGCTGTCGATCTCTCCGAACACGTATCCACCGCGGCCGTCCATCTGCAAGTAGTGGTCGTGGTGCTTCCATAGTGACTTGCGATGCGAAACCGTGAACAAGGATATGCCCATCTGGAAAATTTATTATTTTATAGGATAAGGGCGACAAACGAGCACACAGACCAGTTAATGGTAAGTCGTTGCTGTCTACATATATGTCTACATCTACATCTATCCTCGATTATAAATCAAAATGCAGATGCGTTGTCACCCGTGAGGACTAAGATGGAATGCCTCGTTTCCAGTAAAAAGGGTTATTAGTTTTGTTTTTTAATATTATAATTGTCCTATTTAGTGAAAGTGTAACATACCTGTTAATGGTATACATATAGGAAATTTGCTTATTGTGTAAGATCATTTTAAATGTATAAACAATTTTTTATAGCATTAGGTGATATACGAGCACAAAGTCCACCCGATGGTAAGTGGGCCATAGACATCCACATCAATCTTAAATTAAGAGTCAAAACGCAGATGCGCTGTCACTCTGAGGACTAAGATGGAATTCCTCGATTTCAGTAAAAAGGGTCTCCGGAAATGCAGCAGCATTACGCTGCTATTTTAGGCTGGTATTCTGTGAGAGCGTGGTCCTGCCCCGGTCGAGCCGACCCACTCATGCTACAACTATAATATAGCTGCAGCGTGGCTCTACCACACTACAGGATTTTCTGCATATCGTGGAGGCAGTTCACATACATAAATTGCACAAGGACAACATTAAGCCCCGGAGCAATTATTTGTAGGCTATGCAAATACGTGTTCAGTGCGGGATTCAAAGTCGCGACCATCATCGCCGCAATTCAACGCCAAACCTCTGCGCCTTAGTTTATCCTACGCGCTAAAATTAAGTGTAGTGTAAGTAGGATTGTATTAATTATAGTCAAAGGTGAGTCTAAGTGTAAGAATGGTGAGTTGTGACATTTTATAGCTGTTACCATTAAAGAGAGTAAAAAAGAAGAAAGGGCCTGACCTCGCGGCAGTACTGGTACATCTGTCCCTCGACGTCGACGGACACGGCGCTCGTGCACTCGTCCAGGATCGCGAACTGCGGCTCGTGGTAGAACAGCCGCGCCATCTGTTGGGGCGCACATAAAACCAACAATTATACTATAAAATAATCTAATAATAATGTCTTCCAGACCGAATTTCGGCCACGGCGGCCTGCCTCAACGGAGGCTAGCCATCGGCGCAGGACAGGATTATAGTGCCCAAGTGTATGCGCAAGCACAGGTGCACTCTCTATTCCCTCACTCTCGTAATCCGATGGGACGGTAAACCAACACGACCGGAGTGAGATCAGGCGCAGGACCAACGGCTTTACGTGCTTTCCGAGTCACGGGGGTGAGACACCGAAGACTTCCTGACTCCGGGCAGCTACTGAGAATTTCTTGACAAAAAAACTCAATAATTGATTTTTTGGCCCGACCCGGGATTCGAACCCAGGACCTCACGATCAGTAGTCGCACTACTACAACCACTAGACCAATGAGGCAATCACAATATAATCTATACAAATAAATAATATTGAAGTATCATATTGAAGTAGAAAAAAGTCACATCTTACACTCTATTTTTTTCCAGATGGTAAATATGGTCGTCCTTATATGTAGTTGTTTAATATTGTATATATTTCAATGCTTCATTATATTATATGCGCAATAATCCGCCATATTAGTTTTTATGTGACTTCATGCTGCTAAAAACTCAAGAAAAGGCACAATGCTTTTAAAGATATCAAATTTGTCAATATAAGATGAGTAGTTTAGAAGCTTTGAGTGAAGCAGATGAACATAACATATGCACGTACATAGCCTTCTAAAATTGTAATCATCCTTTTATCTTTACCGTAGTCAGGTAAAAATATTCACTTAAAACATCTGCGTCAAATCAAAAGACACTAATATATTGCAATCGGTATCGATAATTGAAGTCAAGGCAGGCAGTGTATTGTGCAGCACTACTGGTCACGCACATACAATACACGCACACTGGTGTATTTAGATTTTGGTCTCGCCCTAATCAATCCATTAGCAATCTATACTATATCTATGATTTAAAACATGGGAGGTTAAAGACAAGGAGAACGATCGCTGTAGAAAGTGTCCCAGAAATATGGACAAAATAAGTGAGGCGCTGCGATCGCTAAGTTGTCTCAATAAAAGTCATTTTCAGTCTATTTTTCTGATCAGATGCTAAACCACTTGCACGTCCAAGCACAATACAATATTTCACCATTTTTTAATGTTTCTTTTTGTCAAAAATTAAAAAATTACGGAGCACGATTATTTTCTCATCAATGATGCGAAAAAATTTGTACATTATTCAACTAACTTCATCTACTTGTACTCATAAACAGCTAACTTCGAGCCACTACTCACCGACGGCAGCGTCGCTATAAATTCTACAGTTTTTCTAGGACGGGCGGGCTATGCTTTAGTACGTAGCGATCGTTCTCCTGTTCTCTAACCTTCATGATTTAAAACATAAATGACCATTTCTGACATTTTTGCCTCTCTGTCTGTTGGAGCTTATTTTTCTGACTGGAACCATTGTGATGAAACTACGAACGGAGCATTGCTGGAAAGCTATATTTTATGCGAAAAACTTTAAGTTACTTTTTTTGTAAAATCGAAAAACTGGTAAAATAAATGGTTCTCGATTATCCTAAATCTAATAAGGTTGCATTAATAGATCCTATTCTGGTGATGCCGGCGCGGATCGTTAGCACACAATAAACACAATGGGAAGAATAATAAGTAATTTTATTAAACGAATATTATTTCGATTATAGAAAGTAATTCAAGCTATCGAATACAATTCGTAAATCCATCGATCCATTACCCATAATAATGTTTTATGTTTGTTAAAATTGTCTTGTCCCAAAGACATCATCATTACTTTTATTGGACTTTGCCATAATAGCCTCCATTTTTTTTTAATAGAATAAGGTTGACAAACGAGCACACAGTTCACCTGATAGATGATAGAGATGGTAAGTGGATGCTGTGGCTCATAGACATCTACATTTATCCTCGATTAAGAATCAAAACGCAGATGTGTTGTCACGTTTGAGGAATAAGACTGG